GAGTCTAGACAATGGAGTTTAGAGCATAACTTCCCTGAACAGGCCAGAATACACCTCAGCTTTAAAATGGCTTCTTGTCCGAATATTTTGGGAGTCTAAAAGATGGAGCTTAGAGCATAGTTTCCTTTTGGACAGTTCTTTTTTTTATCTTGGGACCTAAGAACAAATCCACAAAAAATATGAGGATACTTCAAAAACTTCACAGAAACATGGATTTAAAATACAAGTTTATTTTGATGCAAAATTTTTCATAATGCACATTTTCCATGAACTTTTAGAAGAATTCTTGTATTTGGACACCACAGAAAATGCCAAATGGACAAACCTGTTAAGAATACCTTGTGGGGACCAGCAGTTAGCATAATGGCTATGTCACTGGACTCCCCCGTAGTTGACCGTGATTCGTGTCCCAAACCCGGTGGCTTAAAACTCACGCCGGGCGCGTGTGCGTGCGTGCCCAAGATCCCGAGAGGAGAATGGAGGAGAAGGGATTGCAGCTGGCCATCTCCCTTGGGGGGTTATTTCTCTCTGTCTCTCTGTCTCTCTCTGTCTGTCTGGTGAGTGCACACGCCCTATAGAAAAAAAAAAAAAAAAAAAAAAAAAAAAACCCTCTCCAAAAAAAAAAAAAAAGAATACCTTGTGGAACCAGATGTGGCACAGCAGTAAAATCACATTATGGGAAGCCATCCAGAAACATCCCTGGATATACTGGGCATAGCGTTCCTATGACCCAGGCTGCCCACAGCTAGGGGTGGGTCAGAGTCAAGACCCTTTCAAGAGTCCTGCATCTCCATCTCTGTTTCTATCTCTTTTTCATGGAGTAATTTTTTTTAAAATTCTGCAAAGAATAGCGTCCTTATGTGATTATTAGTCTTTATTAAAATGTATTTACAAAATAATATCAAGAGGAAGCTAGTACAATGCAGAGTGAATTGAAAGTCCCTTGTCCTGTGTGACTGCTCCTGCTGCTGTGGTTATTTTCTAAAAAAGCATAGACTTTTCCTAACCATGATGAAACACACAACACACCACATTTATCTCCAGAGGCATTGCCTTTATTCCACTTCAGCACCCTCTTCCTACCGCGTGTGTCCAGGTGCGTACTCGGCCACAGCATCCCAACAACATAGTAAAAGTGAATCCTCTTAACTAGTCATCTTGTTCACGGTATGACTCCACCTGGGATCTTAAGGGATAGGATATCCTGAAATGCAGGGAAAAACTAACGACTTTTTATGGGGCAGGTGGGAAATATGCTGACTTCCTGGCATATAGTAAACACTTGAAAAGTGTTTGCTGAATGAAGAGAGGGACAAGAACTGCAGAAGGAAGGAAGGAGTGATGGAGATTTGCAGCAAGAATGAGGGACAGCAAGATGCAGAGAAAAAAATAATAAATCCATCTAGGAAAAGCCGTAGGAAAGAGAATCCTGGCAAGGAGAGTGTCTGTGGGCAACCGCGCTGAGGCTGCGGCAGCCCGAACTGCAGCACCCATGGGACTTTCATTTTCGCCATCCCCTCTAACCCTGCGATGCACATTAATAGATGTTCACAATAACACGCTAGGGCAGCAAGGAAAGGTCGTTGGTATCTTTTGTACAAACACATGTGTGAGAGTTCAGATAAGATTGGGTCCTAGGGACAAGGCAGTGGTGCAGCAGTAAAACAGTACCCTTTGCAAGAGCGATCCACGCGGGAAGGTTCTGAGTTCTTATCCAGAGACCCCCCTCCCCCACAAGAGAACCAGGCTGGCTAGGGTTGGACTGCAGCTCATCCCCTGTTGGGGATACCTCACCCCCACCCCATCTGTCTGTTCCCCTCTCTCAGAAGAAAGGAATTTTTTTTTAAAAAATTGGGGTGTAATTGCAAACACTATTTTATTACAATATTTTATTTTGTGATGTGTCCAGATCATAGACATTTCCTGTACTTTTAAGAAAGGATTCACATTGTAGCCATCTATCTGGAAGGCCTTCAGTGTCTTTGGCACAGACGTGCTGGGTAAGAGGGCTGTCCTGATGCCCTTATAACCTGCCTACAGAGACCCGGCTATTTCTCCAGTCTTGGTTCATCGTTAGATTGCAGATTAGGCAAGAGAATAATTACTCTAGAAAAAAGTGCATTCTGCAGCTAAGTGACTTCCTTACTTTTGACAGAACATACTGTACATATAGTCTTGTCATTTCTTAATAGAACATTGATCTGTGCCCGAGGAACAACTCAGAACAGAAACTGTTCCACTCATGGGAAGAGTGGAATATTTTTTCATTTGTCCTTGTGGGAAAAAATGAATAGATCCTTTTAGCAAAGGAAACAAAAACTGGCATCATGCAATTCAAAGGCAATCAACACTATACCACACGTAAATTTCTGCTGTAATGTGACAGATGAAAAACTTCACACTGCAAATGTGCACTAAGTGAAAGAGTGAATAGAGGACACAGCCTTCACACACACAAAGATATTATTATCGATACCTTGAAAGATAATGTGGCTTCCCTGTCAGCCGGTTCCCTGTGGCTAGAGGTTGCCACAGCTGGCATTTAAATTTTTCAGAAGTGTCAAACTTACAGAAATTGAAGTAGAACAATGGGGACTACTAAGCGCTGGGGGGTGGGTGAGAGTGAGGAGTGCGAAATGGAGAGGGGATGGAAAGATGTTGGTCAAAAGGTCCAAAGTTTCAGTTAGTAGTACATTTTTGAGAGCTGTTCCTCTGCAGAGTATCCATAGTTCCTAATGTGTATCTCAAAATTACTGAAAGTGAACTTTAAATGTCTCACCACAAAAAACTGTTGGGTAAGCAAGGGAGAAGGGATGGATATGTTAATTAGTTTCACTGAATCATTCCACATTGTAATTGTATACTTACATCAAAGCATCACCTTGTGCCCCATAAATAGACATAATCATATATTTTTCTAAAAAGTAAATGTCAGAGGAACCAGCAGTTAGTAATGGCTATGTCTTTGGACTCCCACGTGGTCGACCACGGTTCACGTCCCGGACCCTGTGGCTTGGAACTCACGCCGGGCGTGTGTGCGTGCGTGCCCAAGATCCGGAGAGGAGAATGGAGGAGAAGGGATTGTGGCGTGACCATCCCCCCTGGGGGGGTGATTACTCGCTTTCTGTCTCTATGTCTTTCTCTCTCTGTCTGGCGAGCGCAGGCACCCTATAGCGAAAACCTCTCCAAAAAAAAAAAAAAAAGTAAATGGCAGAAAAATTAAGTTATTGTAACATTAAAAAAAAATACAATCAAATTCTCAGAAGTGATAGGCAGAGTGTTGCCACCCTCTCTCTGGAACAGGACGAGTGAGAGCTGGACTGCAAAGATAGAAGGGAGCCCGTGGGGCTGCAGCTAAGGTGGGCACGAGAGGCTATGCAGCAGGCCATGGGACTGCCTGTCCTCACTGGAGGAGGGCCTGTGTGCAAGGGCTCATAGTACATCTTATATAGTCGAAGGGCTTCCTCCTGCCAGTGCAGTCTCAAAGCTCAGAATTATTTTCTTCCCCACCAAAAATTATCCCCTTTTCCTATTACTCCCTTTCCCTCATCTGGAAAAAAATCATGTCTAAATTATGTTTCCATCATTTCCCTATTTACCAAGGGGATGAACTAAGTTGTAGGACAGAGGTGTATATTAAACCTGAGCAGACTAGATTTAAAAACCTTTCTTAATTATACTTAACCTTTCTTTATTATACTTTTCCCTCATAAGGAATGTGGCAAGTATAGAACATTTTATAAAATCAAGTATCAGCTTACAATAAGCAACTGCTACTTTAAAAACTGTGATGTATTTCCTTCTGGTCTCATGTCTATGCATGTTTGTTATGAAATTAGATAATACAGTTAATGCAAATTTGTATCCATAGTAATTAGTTCTAGTCTACATATTTTTTCAATTAAAAAAATAGAAGTTAAATAGTTAAATCATAATTAATACAGCCTCTATTTTTTGGATATAAGATTGTTTTCAGTTGTGGCAATTAACAATCATATAGAAATGATCATCTGTGTCTTTAATTCCTTACGCTGTGTTGTTAAAATTACTGGGCCAATAAGTACAGATCCCTCTTTAAAAAAATAATCTGGAGGTGATAACTTTATGTATGTGCTTTTTAAACACAAAATCTTTAAGAAGAACAATAGCCAACAGTAAGGTTGGTATTGTGGCCCTATTTTACCATTGGTACATCATTTGTTAAGATGGTATCATGTTAGCAAGTCTCTCTTGCTCACAGTTGAAAATGCCTATTTGGTAAGTATCTTGCATTGTGCATATTCTTGGCTATCAACAGACCTGGTATGTGGAGAGTCTGTTTCATATACACAGGTTGCACCAAGTATCAAAAAATCAATGTCATTCTCTTCTATCCAGCTCAACTAATTCTCCTATGTGTGTGTATATGAGAGAGATATACTTTTCCTTCTGTTTTTATTTTTTTTTCCCCTGCCCTCCTTTTAACCAGTCTTCACCTGTCTTTCTTGGGTGTCTTATCCTTGGCCTCACAATTTTATGTATGGCAATGACTTGACTTTAAGCTATCACTAGTTTAAGCCACTCCATGACAAAACTTCCTGTGAGACTTCTGGAATGACTTTTCTTTTTCTCTGTCTTCCTGTCTCTCTCTGGTGAGTGCAGGTACCCTCTGACAATCAAAAAAATTTGAAAGGCTTCTTCCAGGGGCCTGCAGGTGGCATGGTGGTTAAGGTGCCAGAAACTATGGTTCCAGCCCTGGACCCAATGGCTTGAAAATCATGCCAGGCACATGTACATGTGTGCCCAAAATCCAGGGAGGATTGTGAAGGAGAAGGGATTGTGGCATGGCCATACCCCCTGTGGGGGTGATTTCTCACTTTCCCTCTCTGTGTCTCTCTCTCTGGCAAACACACATACCCTATGACAAAAAATAATAAGCAGAAAAGATTCTTCCAGGTTTCAGATATATTAAAAAAAATTAACACTGATTCAAAGGCTGACTTTGTCCCTCTCTTTTGCAGCCATCATATGTCCCAAGGAAACTAATCCCAATTACAGTTATCAAGCAAGGTAATCTGTCTGCTCCAGATATGTGTTTAGAACCATTTTTAACTAAGAAAATTAAACATAGTACATATTTTCTAAATTGTTCTGATTGTTTTTCAGGGAAAGTTTAAAGAACTAGTATGGTCTAGTAAAGCAGAATTTAATAGATAATTCTGGCTCTTCTACCAATATGCCAACCTTGATCTAATCACACTGACCAGACAACTAACAACAGAACAACCAGAAGTGTTAAATTTTTAAAGTCAGTTAAATATGTGGGTCTTTGTTCAGGATTAAGTTAACATATCTGAAGAAAGCCATTAATAGAATATTTGGGTTAATGTAAATGAAAACCGATTTGGGGTGGCCACTTTAGAAAAAGTAAAGATTTAAAGAATTATATCTATTTTAATTTAAACAGCTGAATGTTTCAGTATGCGGTTTTTTTTTTTTTTTTTTTTTGAGCTTCTAGTTTCTCAAAATTTTAAAATGACTCCACTATTTCCAGAAAGGTTATTGGTGGAAGAGATGGAGTCCTTAAAAATAGTGCTTCAGTTTAAACTAAACACAGTATCTCAAGTGAACTCTCAAAACAAAGTTCATTAGATTTGGAATTACCTAAAAATTCTTTGCTTTGAGAATATACATTTTCTAAGTTTTTTTTTTTTAAATTACTGTGTCATTGTCCTGTTTTTGTTCTAGTTCTTATTAACTTGAAGAAAGGGCATGCTTATAGAGTAGAGATAGGAAGAAAATTTTTCACTAATTAGGACAAAACATTTACAATAGAATCAGAGCCTTTCCTTACTTGTAGGCGTAGATGTTATGGTAAGATGCGTCTTCTGACTCTGTTGGCTGCGTAGTCAGCCCAATGAATTGTTTTCTATTCACTGATAGAGTGAGATCGGACTTTCCCAGTGCAGATGGTTTCACATTTTCAGCTTATTACTGCTTCCTGGCTATTTTTTTTTTCCTTATCACACTATTGTCTTTTTTTATTTCACCAGTGATTCAGAATATTACTCATAGGGCTTCAACTAAGTCCCCAGACAAGACCCCCTTTGGAGGAACTATACTAGGTGAGTCAATTAGAAATCTATGCTAGATTAATAAAGTCCAGCTATCTTTTTATACTCATGTCCTGATGCAGTTTTGGACTATGAGCAGACCTGTTAAATTGATCTTGGGACATTTACTTTCACTGTCTAGCAATGTGGTTTGCATCTATTCTAGGTTAGGAGCCAAGAAGCACCACTTTATCATGCAATGTTAAAGAAACAACCCTAGCACATGCCCGATGGAAATGATGGTGCCTATCCTACCTGCCCCACAGGGTTGTTTACAACTATGAGGGAGTCTTGCTCACATGGAATTGCTCCTTTAAAAAGCATTATAATTGATTTTCTTTGTTCACCCATCTTAAGCAGCAATTTTATAATTTTTAGTCTAAGGATTAAAAGAGTATTTTAATAGTCCAGTTCTAAATATGAAAAATATTGATATTTTAAAAATATTTTAAAGTATGGTCATTTACCCCCCCCCCAACATTTTGAGCTTTAGGTTAAAATCAAATAAAAAAATAAATCCTGAGCTTCATAGTTTCCAGTATCTGATGCTCTGAGCTTTTTTAATGTCATAAAGCAGTTTCTTTTCTTTATCTTAATTACTTCTGTTTTCTTGCAGTACACCTTATTATCCCAGGTCTTAATGAAACCACTGTAAAACTTCCTACATCCATAATGCTTGAGATTTCAGATGCAATCAAGACACAATTAGGTAAGCAGTAAAGTTCTGTATGTGGACATTGCAATGACTAAGTACAAGCACGGACATTTTTAGGATTTTTCAAGGAATCTTGCAAATAAAGTAGTTGAGAATCTCAAAGTAAAAAGTGGGAGCAAGGAGGTTAGAGTGCTGGAGGTATTCCTATAAATCACGTTCTACGGAAAATGGTTATTTTTATATTTACATTAAAACATGGCTGTATTTACACATATGAAAGAATAAAGGCTTATCAAATTATATGAAAAAATACCTATATAGCTATAATTTTCAAATAGAGTACTTATTCTAATTTATACTTATACTATCGAGGGCTACAAAATAATTTCAATAAGAACTGATGTAAAGGTCAGGTCCATTAAAATGATTATTTACTGGAAGTTGATACTGCTTCCTACTTTCAAAAAAAATGGGGTATGATTGTAGTGTTTAAAAAACATAAAGCATTGACCAGCCATGGTAGCACAGAAGTAAATGACATTTTTGAGTGTTCTTTGGAGAAATGTCTATTTATGTCATTTGCTTATTTTTAAATCAGGTTATGTTTTGTTTTTATTTCTTTTTCTTGTTTTGTCATTGATTTGTACAAGTTTCTTATATATTTGGGTATTAAGACCTTATCAGATATATTATACAAATAACCTTTCCCAATCCATAGTCTGTCTTTTCATTTTGTTGAATATTTCCTTTGCTGTGTAAAACACTGTATTTTGTTTTTGTTTTTGTTTTCCCTTTTTGTTGCTTATTTGTTTTTGCAGAGTGTAGGCATAAAAAGATCTTTTTACTACCAAGGGAGAAATAAATTTTCCTGAAGTTAATTATCTGCAATTCAGAAAAGTTGTATTTTTTGAGGGAGTAAATCCTAAAAATAATTTTCCCATTCCAGCAGAGTCCATCATGGGACATCAAAAATTGTAATAGCTTTTGTTCTAAGAACACATGATGTGAATAATGAGAAAAATAAACAAGGAAGCTAGTATTGCACGCTGATCTCCAAGAGACATACAAAGAGTGTGCCAAAGCTAAGACTTAGCTTGCCAAAAATTAAAGGAAACAACTGTTGAAAAAAGGTACAGGAGAATAATAGAGGAAATAAAATTTCCTGAGTTGCAGGCCATGTTCTGGTGGCATTTCACTTTCCTATTGCCAAGACTACAGCTGTGCATAGATAGTTTTGTGGAATGCTCATGAGTTGATATGAAATAATCAGGAGTCTCCCTTTAAATGTATTGTCCATCTACCATTTCCTGATATCTGAACTGGCATATTTAGAAACACTATATGTTTTTATGAGGTATTAGTAATGTATAAAGAATATGTATAGAGCTGGCCCCATAACCCAAGGGTTGAAGGAACCTGATCCCACAAAGCTACTGCAGTTAGTATCCCAGCCCGTGTCTTAAAAAACACACTGGACAGATGTGCATGCATGCCCCAAATGGAGAAATGGCAAAGGGATTGTAGCATTACCATGCTCCATTGGAAAGTGCTTACACATGCATATTCACACTTTCTCTCTTTCCTCTTCTCTCTCTGGTGAGCACATCTTTCCTCTGGTAATTTTTTTTTTAATTATAAATATTCCCTTGGGAAGATAGCTTGCCATTTTTCTTCCTTAACAGCTGAATTTTAGGTTAATGTAATTGGTATCTAAGGGCATGTTTTGGGAATAAGGAGCTAAACCAGTTCAGAGCTTTGACTGTGAATGTCAAGATCTTAAGGAATCACAGAGAACATAGGATATTAGTGATGATGAAGGATCCCTGGAGGACAAAAAGACACTAAAAAGAATAAGAAACAACTCAAGTAAAACTTAATCATTTTACATTTAAAATCAAACAGGGTTAGTTCATGACCTGATGGTTAAGTGAGCTGGATCCCACATGGCAGTCACATGGTTTGAGTCCTGGACCCGGTGACTTGAGAAATATACTGGGCATGCATATGTACATTTTCAGAACTCTGAAAGGAGGGAAGAAATGCCATAGGGCAGGCACCACCACGCCCAGGAGGGGAGAAATGGATAAGTGATTGTGGCAAGACCATGCCACATAGGGAGTATGGTTTCTCACATTCCCTCTTTCTTCATTTCTCTCCAGTGAGTGTACATGTCCTCTGACAAATTAAAAACAATCAGACAAAAAACTTTTCTATGGTAATGCTGAAAATAACCTAATCAAGCTCATGAAAAATTTGTGGTCTGAATAGTTCTTCCAGTGATTACAGTCAGAATGGTTATTAAAAAATCAGTGATCAAGATAACATATATAGTAAAATATAGAAATTTTAAAAATATAACTTAGCATAAAATTATCCTGAATCTATTTTTTAGTTATTACAGAAAGTTCATTATTTTCCTGCCCTGCTAAATTAATTTGAACAATGGTATTAAAGATTTCTGTTGTTCAAACATGTTGTGCAACTTCCTAAACACACACTTGACAATTAGTAGCAAGTACACTAATATTTGTGACATCTATTCATAATATTTTAAACTACTTCTGAAAATAATTAGCTGCTGTATGAATCTGTTGTAATGGCCCATCAATATAGATTGAGAATTGATTAGTCTATGAAATTATGAAAGAGAGGACTTCTTAATTGTTGTTAAGTCTATCATAAGTAAATAAATATCTTGTGCCCACATTAACTGGAAAAAAAAACTTTTTAAATGGATCTTACAAGAGTAAGATGAACTACAGAAAGTTACAAAAATTTAATGTCCAAAGAACGAATAGATTAGATCAGTTGTTTTCAATAGAAGGTGAATTTGTTCACCAAGGAGTATTTGACGATATCTGGAGACAGTTTTGGTTGTCACAGCTGTGGAAGCTTTATTACAATCCAGTAAGTAGAGGCCAGAAATATTGCTAAAAGCATACAATACACAGGCAACCTCCCCCAACCACACAGACAGGAAAAAAAAGTAATAAAATACTGTGTTAAATGTCAACAGTTCGCAAACTGAGAAACTCTGTATAGCCTTAGGACTCTGAAAAACTTCCATCTGATTATATAATTAGTCCCTGGTGGCATGAGCAAGGTATCTCAAAGATCCATGAGTTATTTCATCTCCCTTGAACTGTTTTAGAACATTATAATCAGGTCACAGATTCAATATGCTAAGTAATTGAATAGAATTCATCCTAAATACAATTTAAAATGGGGAACTTCTTAAAGGTTTTTCTTTCTTTACTCCCTCCATGAGTACACCTGCACAGGAGCAAATACCCTTAGCAGGGTCTTGGTGCCATACTCTCCACCTGCAGCCAGCCCTGGATCATGGGCACATGTACTCAGGGTGGTCTCCAGGATGAACCTGGGAACTTCCCATGTGGGTCAGCCTTAAAACACTGCATTTCACTAGTCTGTCACTGTCCACTCCCACATGGGACTATCTTAATTACTAGAAAACCCTGGTTTAGAAATTTACATCTTCAAAAAAGAATGCCTAAATTTAAGAAGGACGTTTCCCAAATAGCTGTATAAAGAGGAAACAGATTCCATTCTTGGTACTAAATTCCCACAGAGACTTGAGAAAAAAATCTATGTTAACATGTGGCTTAAATAAAACTTATTAACTGTTGGTAATTTTGTTTGCCACAAATATTTTCAAGTAATTTAGTTTCCTATGTGTACTATTTGTTTTTCTAAAATTTCAAGTCATAAACTGTTATATGTTTTACTATGCATAATAATGGTAACCATCTATTCACTGATTTTTTTTAAGCTAGGAGTAATATAAAATTCCAGGAAGCACTTTCAATACAATCTATACTTCCAGAAACTCTATTTATACATCAGAACGACTTGCAATTTATCCAATATTGGATTGTGACTTTTTTCCTTCAATTTCAATATAATCTTAAAGTATTAGCTAGAGTTAGTAAGAAGGAATTCTGAAGGCTGTCATCTAATCATATTAACTCCTGATATAAATGCACAGTAAAATTATCTGGCTGGTGGGAAGAAATATCAATAGATTTTATAAAATAGTATTTTTTTGGTTGTTTTGAATGAAGTATCTTTGGCATTGCATTATGAGAAAGTGAGGTAAATTGTTTGTTCTCTGACTTTTTAGCTAAGAATGAAACCTTGGCATTACCTGCTGAATCTAAAACACCAGAGGTTGAAAAAATCCCAGCACAACCCATAACAGGTAATGCGATTCCTGCATTGTCAACCTTGAGAAAAGAAATAACATTTTTTCAAACAGTAAATAATCTACAAGCCTTTTTTACTTCCCCCAGTGAAGCATCAGTAGGAAACTCATTTTCACAAGCACAAAATAGTAGGAGATTCTAGATCTTTAATATTTGAGAAAACAACAGATCCAAAATGAACTATTAAATATATAACTGCTATGTGGGGCCAGCAGGTGGTGTAATGGTTATGTCGCTAGACTCCCACAGAGTCGACCACAGTTTGAGTCCCAGACTCGGTGGCTTAAAACTCTCACCCAGTGCATGTACATTCATGCCCAAAATTCCAAGAGAATGGAGGAGAAGGGATTGTGGCATAACCATCCCTTTCCCCCGGGGAAGGGGGGATTTCTCACTTTTTTTCTCTGTTTCTCTGACTTTCCAGCAAGCGCACATGCCTTATGATAAAAATCTCTCTTGAAACAAAAAGAAAATACAGCTATATATAGAAGCTATATTTGTCACCCTAAAGGAAACTCAAGGCTCTGAAATATTTTTATACTAAAATGTATTACAATAGTTTCAATGGTTTCATTTTATACGTAGACCTGAGACCACTTTTTAGTTCTTCACATTGACAAGTGGTCAGTTGAGCAAAGTGCCATATATCCTTCATAAATTTATAGCTTAATATCTATGAAACGACCCTGGAATAATTTAGAAACAAATGGCCACTGGGGAATTAACAACCATAGTGTAGAGAACATATGATAATTCAATTAAAAATCCTTTAAAGAATAAATACAATAAGCATTTTCCACATAGTTTGCTGCCATTACTAGCAAACATTGAATGTTTCTTCTCTGGATTAAACCACCCCATCCAGTCCACTGGGAGATATTAATCTCTACATTACAGAGTTTTGCCAGAGCAATACCACCCTATTTAAGACTTGATGAAACAAAACACCTGGCAAGAATTCTCTACAATCCACATTTAGCAAAATAACCCCAATCTAAAGTGAATTTTTTAATTCATAAAATTTCCATAATTAGAATTATTGATGATATTTACCTTATACTAAACTTTTGGGTTCATTAGTGATCCAAAGAAGATAAAGATTGATTGGAGCAATAAAGTAACTTCTAGAAACCCATTCAAGTAGGAATATTTCTAACAAGATGAGTATGTCCTGTCTAAGAGCATGAGATAGACATTTTAAATCTACCACAGTGGAGCTGAGGCAGAGGTAGAATCTATTCAAGCTAGTGGAATAATCCATTTGGATGAAATTACTAGTTGGTTTTCTGATTTCAGTATAATTGATCAATGCCACAAAAAAAAAGCATAGGCATGACCCAGTAGTTGACTCCAAGTCTTTTTCTGCCTCAAAGGTTCTACTCATTTTCTCCAATTATACTTTCCTCTCTTGGCACAGCGTCTGACAAGAGTCTACAGACGTCTTATTTTTCTGCCAAAGACCTCCTCAGAATTTTCCACTTCAGAAACACTTAAGCAAACATCACAACTTATTATACAGTGATGTTCTGTTTATTTTTTTGTCCTTGCCCCCCAAATTCTGGAGCTCTCTAGCTCACGATTCGTTTCAGATCTCAATGACCCTGCTTCTTATTTCTCCAAAGCCATTTACCTGAGGCCTTCATTGTCATTAATCTATTGTAGCACTTGTGACAACCTGTGGCTGACCATTTGAATCTGCTTGTAATAGCAATCCAGTCCACAGCTTTGCGTGTTGAGTGGTTTCAGAGAGTAATCTTATAATGTAAAGCTCTAAGTAAATCTTAGCCCTGGATGATTCTTTTCTCTGTTCTTTTATCAATTTATTTAATAAACTATTATGATGTGTTGGTTTAATCCCAGGCCCTGTGCTAAACCATGGAGATTAAAAAAAAAAAAAAAAAAAAAAGGCAGACGAGGAAAAAAATATCATCATCTGATAAACGCTTCCACGGAAGCCAGTTCAATGTGCTTTTTTTGGAGCACATAGACAGTGTCTCAAACCCAGAAGGGAAAGGTGGGGAAAGTGGCAGCTTGGGCACCTGGGGCAAGCAAGGGACTCCTTATATTAGCAACTCCGAAAGAAAGCAGCTAATAAGTATCCGTTACTAATTGTAAAGGGGCAATGGAAGATGTGTCCTGGTTTTGGGTTGCCTCATCACTTTATCTTAATTTGTAAAGTCTTTTTTTTTTTTTTTTTAAATCTTTCAGTGACTCCTGAAACAGTTCCGAGAACCATTAAACCCACTGTGTCTAGTGCATTAGACATTTCAGAAACAACACTGGGTAATTCTAATAACTCTTTTAACCTTAAAAGAGGGGGTGAGGGCAATAACCACAACAACGAACTTCTAACCCTCAGAAAGGTAGTCCCAATTAATCCCAGTGTCTTAGCTTTTCTCTCTCTCCCTCCCTCACCCTCTCCTTCCTTCTTCCTACCAGCTCTCCTCTGCTCCCTCCCCCCTAAATTCCTTCCTGACTATAGATAACCTTGCCATTTCTGGATTAGTTCCACTAAGAGTGAATAACATGACTGATCCTGGTAACTGATATCCTAGGCAGATCTGGATGCTAGATGCTAACGGCATGCCCTTTTTAACCTCTCTGGTGGGTTATATAGACTTTGACCTCCAAATCTTAGTGGAGATGGGGAAACCTGGAAGTCTTGTCTCTGCTTTCTGCTTAAGTGGCTTTTAGAAATCTTGTACATATAAACTCAGAAGAATCCCCCAAGTGTCATGCTTTTTAATATGAATTTCATATCATTCATGTTAGCTGCTTCTCGGCCAAAGCAGCAGATAACTTGCTTTCTTGTTCTCCCCTAAAGAAAAGGAGCAGCATGTATTTTGCTCTGTCCTTGTGATGCTGGCTTTCCTTGCCACACCACAGCCCTTTAAAAGCACACCTTCACATTTTAACTGCTGTGTAACTTTTCCAGAGAAAGCCAGTGGAAGGCAATAGCCACTTGCTACACACCTGGATGTCTGTCATGGCTCATGCTATGCATGACTGTGGTTAAACGGCAACGCATCTCCAGTCCAGGTGTTGCTAACCATGTTTTCTTTATTGTAGTTCTCAGAGAAAGGACCCCCAAAACATCGCAAACTATTCTAATACGTAAGTTTGAATTGCCACTGGGCACTCTGGGTAAAAAATGATTAAACAACTGCTTTATTATGACCCTAGAGATGTTATACATGCTTGAAATCCTTAGGCTAGCTGAAATTTATATCCTCACAGGAAAAAAGGGACTAGCAGCTTATAGAACAAGAAAGTCCCAAGCCCTTGCATGTGATTTCGTTTGGCTATTTATTTATTTATTTTGGTTGTCATGTTTTGAAATTATATTTAATTCTTTTAATTCAGAATCAGAATGTCACTGAACAAATTGATACAATGGAACTTCAAAAAGTTCCTGGAAAATGAGATTAGGGTATGAGTTTATTTTGGTGCAAAAATGTTTGAAATTCATGCATAGCCTTTTTATAATACATGCTTTCCATTAACTTACTGAAGGTCACTTGTATTTTCCATACTTTTTCTAAACATATTGTCTCTCTTGACAGAGAAGAAATGTTTGTGATAGTTCTGCAGACTATTTCTTAGAGTTCTTAAATTGAATGCAATATTTTAAAAAATGGAGAGACCAGCAAATGGCGTAATGGTTATATTGCTGAATTCTCTCATGGTTGGCCATGGTTCAAGTCCCGGTGGCTTGAAACTCATGCTGGGTGCATGTGATTGTGTGCCTAAGATCCTGAGAAGAACAGAGGATCGTGGCATGGCCATACCCTGGGTGTGTGTGTGGGGGGTGATTTCTCACTTTCTGTCTCTCTGTTTCTCCAGGGAGCATATTCCCCCTATAGCAGAAATCCCTCTTGAAAAAAATCAAAAATGTATTTTGATTCTATTTTTTAAAACTTCTTTTTTTTTGAGAGAGATTTTCGCTATAGGGCGCATGCGCTCGCAAGACAGACAGAGAGAGACATAGAGACAGAAAGCAAGAAATCACCCCCCAGGGGGGATGATCACGCCACAATCCCTTCTCCTCTCGAAATCTTGGGCACGCAGGCACACGCACCCAGCATGAGTTTTAAGCCACCAGGTCCAAGACGCGAACCGCGGTCGACTATGTGGGAGTCCAGCGACATAGCCATTACGCTAACTGCTGGTTCCCTAAAACTTCATTTTTAAAAGCTTGTAAGATGGGCATTGGCTAGCTCAGATATGTTTAGTGCTTGGTTTGAATTTAAATGAACTGCTTCCAAGAGCTCACAGACATATCTGAAGAAATTAGGAGACGAGTTTAATAAGATGGCTTGAAAAATGCAAAAAATGTAAAAAAAAAAAAAGGCAAAAAAAAAGTAAAAGAAATGTTATCCATCATTGAAACACAGAAGCAAGAAATATCACTAATGGTCCCTTACTTGACATGAAATAATTTGTATTTTTGTGGGTTTTTTTTTTTTTGCAAGCTTGAGATCTTTACATCTATTCTATTACTTGATCTCAGGTCATAACTTTTCTTGTGTATTTCATTACAGCTCCAGAAAGGCTTCCAGGATTTCCTGAGGCAAAAACTCCCTTTCCTTTTGAGAAACCTAGGGACACCTTCGGTAATCAGAGCACGTTAAATTGGTTGTTAAACATGTGTGTGGTGGTTGCATAATTCTCTACCAGGTCCTAGGTCTGCAAATCTCAATGAATTTATCAATTTAGTTCATTTAGGCAAACAAGTGGTTAATGTGATGGAAGGGAGGAGTGTATTTGTCCGATGATTTTTTACGATTCAGTAAAAATTATCGATCTGTTAATTCCATGTAACTTGTGTTAGTATTTGGTCCTTAAAAATGATGAGAGCGTGACTCCAAACTCTGGTATCTCTCTAGCCACTAAGCAAATGCTCTCTGAGTAGATGCGTATTGATTACTTTTTACAATATAGTGACTTTTGATTAAATCGAGATGTGCTTTTTATTTATTGCAGGCTTCTGGTAGCCACTTAACTATACAAGTAATCTATTTCTGTCCCCTTCTCCACTTAAAACAAAAAAATTCAAACAAATTCCATTTCTTTTCAATATAGCTTCAAGTGAAAAGCCATGGATTATACCTACAGCTAAAACATCTGACGATTCCAAAAGTCTACAGCCTCAAACTGGTAATTGAATGATTTTTAATAATTAGATTGCAACAAGAGTCTTTTTATAGGTTCCTTAATTAATTATCAATGTATTTAAGCAGAAAGTCTATAATATAATCTTTTTTATGTAAGCTGATATTCTAATTTTTTTTTTTTTTGGAAAGGTTTTTTTGCTATAGGGCGCGTGCACTCACCAGACAGACAGAGAGAGACATAGAGACAGAAAGCGAGAAATCTCCCCCCAGGGGGGATGGTCACGCCGCAATCCCTTCTCCTCCATTCTCCTCTCGGGATCTTGGGCACGCACGCACACGCGCCCGGCGTGAGATTTAAGCCACCGGGTCCAGGACACGAACCACGGTCGACTACGTGGGAATCCAGCGACATAGCCATTACGCTAACTGCTGGTTCCCGATATTCTAATTTTTTAAAGAATGTTTTATTTATTATTATTACTCAATTTGATGAGAGAGAGAGAGCAAGCTCCAGGTCCGGGGGTTGAACTGCAGTTGACGATGTAGGAGTCCAGCTCCTTAATCACCATGCTGACCCCTATAATACAATCTGATTCTCAGATGATTCTCATTTTTTCCCACTATTTGGTTGTCGGCAAAGTCATGATGTCTTTTGTACATAGAAAAACGTGTCATGACTTTCTGGATAACCTAGTATAAAATAAAAATGTTTTTGCCTTTGTTTTGTATTTATTTTAAATATATATGTTTTAATTTCTGTCTGTATTATGAAAAGCCTGGCTAGAACGTGAATTATAGATTAGTTTGCTGATTTTTCTAGAGATCTCTTTAGTGCTATGAGAGCAGTAACAAACGTATCATTGTGTGTCTGATTTAATAATATGACTTCAGGCTCCCCTTACAAGTAGAATTTTGTTTCTTCTTTGAAGTCTTCATTAGTTGTCAGCTAGGCAACAAAGAGACACATAGGATGTTTAAGTTGACCAGAACCCAGTTTTTGAAAAAGGGAAGCTATCGCAGTCTGTTTCAGTGGCAGAATTACAGTCATGGCCATGACTCCTGCATTCCTCAGGAGTGCCCAAACCCAGTGTTTGGGGGCCTAGTAACTATTGAATAGATCAACTTTTAGGTTCCTTTTATCTGTTAGCTTTTAGGTTATGACTTAGGGTGTACAGGGTTCCCTTAGGTTTCCTTTGAGTGGTATCTAGTTTTCTATTTCTGTAATAATTCAAGTGCAAACTGACCAAAACCTTAGGGAAATCACTTTGGAAATTTTAATGCCTAAAACATAAATTATAACACTTGAGTCACACAAAGCATTGAGGAGAGAATAAGCTGGAGAGTGCAGGTTACGGAGTTAAAATAAGAGATTAAAAATAGATGATTTAGTAAATCCCAATATCAGAAAAGATTCCTGTTGCCTTTCATTCCAGAAAAGGAATATTCTGATTTTATCCTGTTGGAGTATGAGTAGTGGCTAATGTAGAAGGAAGCAGACTGATTATTCAGCTTACCTCAGTCCTGAGAGGGCAACCTTTGGTTGCTGGAGAACTTCTACTGCTTCCAAGTCCTCTGAACAAAGCATTTAGTAGGTAGTGATGGCAGGCATGAACATTCCCTCAGGAAACTTCCCAGCCTGCCATACAACATTTGATTTCAATATCTCTGCTACTTTCTGTGATCCTTGGACTAGCAGCACTGGCCTCACCTGGGAACCTGGTAAAAAGTCAGGACCTTGGGTTCCAACTCTTGACCTGCTGAATCTTGCTCCATGCTCTAACAAGATCTCCAGGTGATTTGAATGAACAAGAAAACTGGAGAAGCACTTATCACTATAGTCATTTCACATTGTGCCAGTGCAAATGATCAAGTGTGGTCAATGATAAGACTTAGGCCTCCAATCAATATAAGATGGATGTTCGAAGTCAGTGATGACGTCTCTCTTATTTCTACTAATATGCAGAACGTCCATCTGCACTCTAAGACGTATGCTCTGTGGCATCTTTTCTAAGATATGTGAAGTTTCTAATTAAAATTGAACAACCTCTGTATTATTTGTGATTTATAGAGTTGATATGGTCATCCAATGATTTTATCAATATCATTACTCTTGTTTCTTTTGATTGATTTTGTGTAAACATAAACATGTACTAAGGTTCTACTTCCTACGTAGTTGCAATCTATTTAATTATTTATTATTTTCCCATACTCAAGTAGCTTCCTGACACAATTGTTTTAGAATGAAGAGACTGAGATAGTACTTAAATGCTTATCCGTAACAGCATTCATCTCACTCTTAGTTGTTTTATCAAGAAGGCAGGAATGGGATCCTTCAGAGCATCAGGAAAGACCCAAAGATGAGATTCCAAGGAAAAAAAAAATAGAAGCCATGTTTCAAAGACTGTATTACAGGTACTTCATCAGTGTGTAAGACATGAGTGTGACATAGCCAGCAGTTTGGTTCTTGAAAGATCTCCAAATCACGTGCAGTTTCTTGGGTGAGCGAGTCAGGACCCTGAGGGAAAAAATCCAGTCACAATGCTTTCTTTAACAACAAGTGAGATGTGGCAATGAGGAGACAGCGAAGTATACCAAACAGGCAATGTCAGTCAGAAGACAACATTCGCACAGAATATCACTACCCTGCCCAGCCTCAGAGATGTGACCTATCAGTATGTGAAAAGGAGGTCTCAAGTTTATGTGGCAGGGAGAGTAGATTATGGTGGATACATGGATTTTAAAAAATTGTGAGGTGACAAGCAACCACAATCATAGCTGATAACATTATTTCTGAGTAACCTGACCAAAGAGAATATGTAAAACGGATGATTCTTCTTTGGCTATTGCTTGGTATTGTCTCATTTCTTAATAGTGTATAGTCATTATGGAACAAAAATGAAAATACTCTTTTATATTAAAAAAAAAGAATGCAAGGATGGAGTGCAGTTAAAGCTATATTTGGTAAAGAACAGCAGTTGTTTGTGTTAGCCAGAATGTGAGGACGGTAGTGTTCATATTTTGTTTGTGTCCCATGTAATTATGGAGTAGTCTTGTTTCTGTCTTGATCCATCATGATCACAGAGTGGTCTTGACTGATGTCAATGTTGTTTAAAATTATTGCTGTCATGGGAACCAGGAGATGGTGTAATGGCTATGTCGCTGGACTCCCATGTAGTTGACCACGGTTCAAGTCTGGGACCCAGTGGCTTAAACTCACGCTGGGCATGTGTGCATGTGTGTGCAAGATCTCGGGAGGAGAATCGAGGAGAAGGGATTGCAGTGTGGCCATCCCACCTGGGGGGGGGGTGATTTCTCGCTTTCTGTCTCTGTCTCTTTCTTTCTGGCAAGCACACATGCCCTATAGCAAAAACCTCTCAAAAAAAAAAAAAAAAAAAAAACCAAAAAATGTATAAACCCACGG